TAGGGAAAATGCTGTTTTGACTTATAGCAAGTAATTAAAGATACCGTAGGCAGACGTTTTGCTGTTTTCTTGTTTGTTGAAAATGTCAAAATAACTGGGTCAAAGCAGCAGTGCCAAAAGGTCATGAACCCTGAATCTCTGCGTGAGGACCAGCCCCAACACCCTGCCAGTATTTTTGAGTGCCTGCCCTTGTCTCACTTCAGACTTCTATTGCCTGAAAAACTTGTGAAAGCAGAAATTACAGCTTTGGAAACAGTTTATATGTCGGCAGCTCCTCATTTCCTGTTGTATCGGACCAATTTCTCCCTTCCCCCCCACAGTCATACCCCACATACCCGTGGGAGCTCAGTAAATATTTATCGATGATGGACATCATTGCTTAAAATACTTTCCCATCAGTGGGGTCTATCTCTTGCCACTCAAGTGTCCTAAACCCATGAGAAGTGCTTCACAGCCATGTTCCCTTCAACAAAACCAAAAACTTCCCATCTCATTTTTTCTGGGTTCTGAGAAGATACACTTTTTAATGGGATCCACTTACCCATCCACCATGCAGCTGGACCCAGGGCGAAAAGTTCTCCTTTAGGTACTTGGTTCCAAAGCCCAGCACCCTGTTCATCGGGTGGTTGTCGATAGCTGTGAGCTTGGCCATGACGTCTATTGCAAGGGCAGCCTTAAAGCCTTGAGCGTTGACCTCCGATTCTCCCCTGGTGTCCACACCCTTTAGGAACTGGTCTGTGATGGTCTTGAAAACAGAGTAGGACAGCCCATCCGGGAAGCAGCTTATCAAAGTCTTGTCTTTCTTTAACTGTGTACAAGAAGACAGGCATTCAGTGAAGCAACTTGGCCCAGTGAAGCAGACAAAGGTCTCTCACTTTCTCTTTCTTTCTTTTTTTTTTTTTTTTTTCTAATGGGTACATGTGCTTGCTGGAGAAAGAGAGAGAAGGACAGTGAGAAAGCACCCCCTGCCCCATAGAGGATGGCCATGCAGTATCCTTTCTCCATTTCTCCTTTTGGAATTTTGGGCACACACGCACATGCAACCAGAGTGTTTCTCAGGCCATGGAGTCTGGGATTTGAACTGCACAGTTGGCCATATGGGATCCAGTTGCCTTAAGCACCACACCACCAGCTGTCCCCAAAGGGCACTCTTTAACTCAAATATGAACTATTGAAACACTTAGCGGAAAGCTTTGGATTCTGGTCTCCTCCGTCATGGTACAATGTCCTGCAGAACCAGACTGAGATGGACCTGCTCTGTGAATGAATTTCACTGGGACAAATAAGTGACCAACTGGAAAGTCCATTCACTAAACATTCAACACACATTTCCTGAGCACTTAAAATGAACAGGTACTATGGATAATCTTAAGACTCAGGTCCTCATTCGAGGGCCCCATAGTCTAATGACAATTGTAAAACAGCACTAAATGCTTTGCTAGAAATAGTGTAAAGAACAGAATCTGGAGGCCGGCAGGTGGTATGGTGATTTAGGCACTGGATTCCCACATGGCTGACCACAGTTTGCATCCCAGACCCAATGGCTTGAAAATCATGCTGGGTGCATGTACATGTATGTGTGTCTTAAATCCCAAGAGGAGAATGGAGAAGAAGGGATTGTGGCATGGCCATGCCTCCTGAGGGGTGATTTCTCACTTTCCCTCTCTGTCTCTTTCTCTCAGGAGCACACACACACACACCTGATGGCAAAAACCTAAAAGCAAAACAAAAAAAACATCTGAAGGGTGGCAATCACCATCTTGGCTCAGACCCTTGTCCTACCTCTTAGCTGTGCAATCTTGGGAAGTTTACCTTTTAGGTTCAGTTTTATCATTTGAACTAATAGGATGATAGTACCTATACTACAGTGTTATTGCATGAAACACTTAGCATAGAGCTGGGCATGGAGGAGGTGCTCTGGGAATAATTTTTTATTTGAGAGAGAGATTTTTGCTATATGGTGCAGTGTGTGCACTCACTGGAGAACAGAGAGACAGAAGGCAAAAAGTCACCCCCCCCCCCCAGAAATGGCCATGCCACAATCCCGTCTCCATTCTCCTCTCAAGATTTTGGACATGCACACACAAGTACCAGCGTGAAGTTTAAGCCACCTGGTCCAGAACTTGAACCATGGTCTACTACATAAAAGTCCAGAGATGCAACCATTACATCATCTGCTGGTCCCAATGTTCATTTTTTTAAGACACTGCAGGAGCACAGTGGTTCATATTAATTCAAACATTGCAGTGGACTGGAAGAGTCATCTACCGGGTAAACATGTAAAAGAGACAACAAGCACAGATTCTACTGATACATCATTCATGTAAAATATCACCGAGAGCATCACACAAAGCAAGGTTTTTGAGAGTGAAAAATTGCAGGGTGGGGGGAAGGATAGTCTCTTTGTGACCCAGGGTCACCTTCACACCACCCCATTGGTCACTGCAACTCACGCCTATAGAAACCAGAAAGAAGTTGCCGTGAGAACCACAGAACCCCAGAGCAGTGAAGGATCCTCGAGGACATCTAAATTATCTCTCCCAGTTGGGAGACTGAACTGCTGCCTGGTTATTGGCATCTACTTGTAATTCTTCTAGTGACAGGAAGGGCATTTCTTCAGAAGGCAGCCCCAAATGCCAGAAAGTTCATTCACACATGGGGCGAAATCTATTCCCTTAACTTCTACATCCATAATGTTAGTTCCAGAGAAACAGGCTTGTCTTTAAACTCTGTTCTTCTTCTTCTTTTTTTTTTTTAAGAGATTTTTGCTCCAAGGCATATGCATTCACTGGAGAAAGAGATACAGAAAGCAAGAAATCACTGCAATCTTATCTTCTCCATTGTCCTCTCGGGATTTTGTGCACACACGTACATGTGCCCACCATGAGTTTTTATTTTCTTTTAAAGAGAGATTTTTTACTATAGAGCGAGTGTGCTCACTGGAGAGACAGACAGTGACAAATCATCCCCTGGAGGAATGGCCATGACACAATCCCTCTCCTCCATTCTCCTCTTATTATTAAGCCTGAGTTTTAAAACTGCCATACAATCCCTTCTCCATTCTCTTCTTGGTATTAAGCCTGAGTTTTAAACCGCCAGGTCCAGGATTTGAACCTTGGTTGGACACGTGGAGGCTCAGGAACGTAACCGTTACACCATCTGCTGGTCCCAAACTCTATTCTAATCTTGCGTCCTAGGCCCTGTCTACTCTCTACTTGTGGCCACAAAACTAACATACCTCCTTCTCTTTTGTTTAGTCCAATACCCCCCATTTACATACAGTTTCTCATTCTGCACCCTGTCCCAGGCCCCTTACCCTCCCAGTCACCATCCTCGGAGCACATGTCTGGCAAAGCTGTTGTACCAGGAGCCGTGAGCCTAGGACAGAGTAGGATGGCTGACTGGTTAATGCTGTTTCCCCATCCCGCAAGAAGTCCTTTAAAGTCCTTCAGGGCCAGGTTCTCTCCCCATGGGTCCTGGCGAAACAATGACTTGGATTCACAGGCTGGACTTTGATTGACAGACCCTCAGGACTACTCTGTCATCTGTGGGTGATGGACACAGAAAGAGATGGCATCTAGGGAACCAGCAGTTAGCATAATGGCTATGTCGCTGGACTCCCACGTAGTCGACTGCGGTCCACATCCCGGACCCGGTGGCTTAAAACTCACGCCAGACGCATGTGCGTGTGTGCCCAAGATCCCGAGAGGAGAATGGAGGAGAAGAGATTGCGGCGTGGCCATCTCCCCTGGGGGGTGATTTCTCACTTTCTGTCTCTATGTCTCTCTCTGTCTGGCAAGCGCACGCGCCCTATAGCGAAAACCTCTCCAAAAAAAAAAAAAAAAGAAAAGAAAAAAGAGATGGCATCTAGAAAAGAAGCCCTTCTGACCGTGTTGGGGGTGTGTAGTCTCTTTACCTGGAGGCAATTTCCACTTGTTCCTGATTGGAAAAGTAAGTTTAAACTTCTACATAGAAAGAGATCTACTAGTCAGACTAGCCCTGCCTTTCTGGCTGAATTGCTAAGAGACCTTGAACAGGAAACAGTCCAGCAACTCTAAGAGAGACTTCAGAAGGACTCCAGCCTCTGAGTAACTACAGGACACAGATAGCCAGGCTGCAGAGCAAACGCAAGAGTCTAAACCCCAGTGAGGATCGATTACATGGGGAACAAGACAGTTCTACTCAGCCAACTTCAACGTACTGGTGTCTTTTCTTGCAATAACAAAGTTCCAAGTTTAGTTTCCAAAAATTCCAAGGAGGCTCCAGAAAGTTTAATGATGTTTTCCAAAGTGATTCATTTTTGAGATGCGGCCAGCATGAGGAATTTTGACTCCAAGGCAAATAAAATGTAGGACCAAGTAGAAACCTGAACTTCGAAAAGGAGTAATATTGCAACCCGAAGTGCAATTCATTCTTGTGTGCTAGTGCATGGGCACAGACAGACATCGCATTCGTCCAAGGACCTTCATACCTCTTTTGCCAACTGATCCCCTGTGTATTTCAGCAGCTCAACAATTCTGGCTATTATTTGGTCTTCTCCATCTGTCAGGGGAAAATTCCAGTTATTTATTTATTTTCCCCAAGGGAGGCAAAAATAACATTAAATTTCCCCAGTGGCAACGTTTGTGGCTTAGTTGGTATCAAGGAATACGTGTCCTTTCTATGTCTTAGCTAATAAGTCTTACCTTGCCTCTTCTGAACCAACACAAGCCATTCCCGGACACTTTTACCATTCCCTTCTTTCCTCATTCCTCCTCTTTCTTTGCTCAGCTCCCCAGTTCTCACCATGAAATCCAACAGACTTGTCTTTTCATTCTATTTTCCATGAACTTTTGAAGCCCCTTTGTATTGGAACAGGGGAGGTTGAGTATAACTTTTTTTCCAAGGACTTGTTAACAGCTTGGCCAGTTCCATAGTGTAGTGGTTAAGTGCTTTGCAGTGGTGGGAGCCAGATCTCACATGGCTAGCCAAGGTTCAAATCCTAGCTCCAGTGACTTGAAAAATATACCAGGTACACATATGGGTACATGCCCAGGATACTGAAGGGATGGGCCAAAGGTCTGTGTTGCGACTATATCCCCTCGAGGGGGTGCTTTCTCCCTGTTCTCTCTCTCTTTGTTCCATACATATGCCCTCTAGCATAAAAACGACGACAAAAAAACTTGCTAACAATGAAACATGAAGAAAACGGTCATTGTCATAGAACAGGATCCAGAGGAAGGCCCAGTACTGAGAAAACAGTATTTTTTACTTACAGTCTCTGACATGATGGCATCTTCCATTTGTCCCAGATAAGGAGGAAAGAAAGACCAGGGAACTGAAGTAGCTGCTCCCAAGAAAATCCCATGAAGGGCCAGGTAAGAGGTATGTGGGAGATTTGGGCTCGAGTTACTAGAGAGGAGAAAGAACTTGTGCCTCCATGGTGCGTGTGCAGTTTTGACTTGGTGCCACCTTCTCTGTGGAACAGTTGCTGTCACAGGGCTTGAGTGTTAGGGCCTTAACTTTATTCTGTCTGCAAAATACACAACCTTTGCCATCAAGTGTCACCACTCTGTTCAGCAGATGGCAAGGGCTTCTCCTCTCCTCTAACTCCTTGCTCGAAGCCTCTGTGGACATTCGTGACACCTATAGTACAACAGGGGGCAGACAAAGCCACCACTATGCCTTTGAATGAAGGACTTTTTTAAAAACTTAGTTTTAATCGCCAGAGGATGCATGTGCTCACCCAAGAGAGACAGAGATGGAGAAAGCACTCCCAAGAGGGGTGCGGTCATGGTATAGTCTCTTTTCCTCCATTTCTCCATCCTGTTGGGATTTTGGACATGCACTTGGCATATTTTCCAAGCTTCTGGGGCCAGGATTTGAACTGCAGTTGACCATGTAGTATCTGACTCACTTAACTACTAGGCTACAGGGCAGGCCCTGAAAACTTTTTAAAGTATATTTTAAAACTCAATGTATAATAATTGTACACAACCGTGAGAATACAGTTTGATTTTTACAGTGTGTAGAAATTCATTCTGCATAATTTGCATACCCATCACCTTGACCAATGGACGTTACTTGTGGTAGAAACATTCAAAATCCTTCCTTTTGGTTACTTTGAGATACACAAAAGCTGTTGCCATCTGTATTCTTCTGACTGTATCCTACAGCACTAGACATTATTCCTCTTATCTATCTGCAGTGGTTTTTTTTTTGTTGTTGTTGTTTGTTTGTTTAGTTTTTTTAGATTTTTGCCATAGGGCACCTGTGCTTGCCAGAGAAAGACAAAGAGAAAGCGAGAATGAGAAAGCCCCCTCCCCCCCAGGGAGAATGGCTATACTCAATCTCTTTTCCTCCAGTCTCCTCTCAGGATTTTGGGCATACACACCCACATGCTGGCCTGATTCCCAAGCAGCCAGGTCTGGGACTCCAACCATGCACTTGGCCATGTGGGATCCAGCACCTTAACCACCATGCCGCCTGCTGGCCTCCCATCCATGTGCAGTTTTATTTCTGTTAATCAGCACAGATCTCTTTCCCCACCTCACCCCCAACCTTCTCAGCTCTCAGCAGTCATTCTTCAGACCTCTTCTCTATGAGGCTGTATGTTCAATGTCCACACATGAGCGAGAACACGTGGTACTCCTCTCGGTGCCTGACTTATCTCACTTAATATGAAGTCCTCCAGGCTCACCCATTCATCCTCAAATGGCAGGATTTCTGCCCTTTTAATGGCCCAATAGTATTCCTTTGTATATGTATACCACATTTTCTTTATCCTTTTGCCAGCTGATGGACGCTTAGGTTGCTTCCCTATCTTGGCTATTGTGAATAGTGCTCCAGTCAACACTGGTGTGCAGATATTTTGTGACATACTGACTTACTTTCCTTCAAATATTTACCCAGTAAAGATTGCTAGGTCATACAGTAGTTCTACTTTTAGGTTTTGAAGAACTTGCCCTGTTTCCCATAATGGCTGTGCTGACTGCATCCCCACCAGGAGTGTAGCAGAGCACGAGAGAACTTTGCCTTGTTCTTTGGGTGCTGCACACCCAGGAGCCCTCTGCCTCACACCCTACACCAGAGACTTTAGGGAGACAGGGCATTGGTGAGGAAAGGTGGGACCAAGCAGCTCTCCTGTGGCACTTGCTCCTGCTCCTCTCAGTTCCCTCCTCAAAGCCTGGAGTTCTCATGGCCTGGCGGGACCTGTCGTTGTAGCTGTTGCCATAGTTTTGGTGACAGCTGGCCCAGTCTAGTCATTTCCCAGTTCTGCTCTGTGTGCTCTCCAGGGCTGGAGTCTGACAGCCCCCTGCTTTTCCACCAGAGCTCAAAGAAATTGAGGAAGTCCCTGGGTTGATACTCCAGCTATTTCCAGTGTACTCTTGTGAGCAAATTGGTCCAGGGCCACCAGCAACACAACCAGTCTGATAGTGCGTGTTCCCCTGTGGACAGGGCTGGATGCAGGCTCTGTGTGAACTCCTCCCCTAGAAGACGACTTTTCTTTTGACTTAGTAGTGAGCTTGCCATGTTGGGTCCACCCACTGGAGTAGCCCCCTTGTCTGGGGCTGGTAGATCTACCTAGAGCTCCCTGCCTCCAACCTGGTCTGCCATCCCCTTAGTCCAGGTTGGCAGAGACTCCCAAGTTGCAGAGCTCTGAACTGAACAAAGACATACCCCTCATATACCTCTGCCTGGCAAACGGCACAGCGCGAACACTCCCAGGATGGTTTACCTTTCTGAGAACTTGCAGCTTCCTGTGTGACGCCCCCTCCACGGAGGCGAGTCAACTTTGGTGGTGGCCAGGAGTAAACAATTTCAGCAACTCGGTTGGCAATGGAAGCCGCTTTTGGGTCCTCAACTGAAAAGAGACAAAATGGTGCTGAGAGGCCTTTCCCAGAAGAACTTCTTTTGGCTCATTGCTGTACACAGTTGCCCAGATGTCTAGAATAACCCAGAATGAGAGGACTGCATATGTGTGTTGGGGGGTATCATTCTTCAGGAAGCACTGGCAGTTGCCGGCTGGGGCTGGGGGACAGGAGGAATACATAGAGGGATGACGATCATCTTGAAACAATTGCCCTCTGAACTCTCTTCTCAAAGTCTTGTCAATTACAGCCCCCATTCCCCTTTGCAAGGGAAGAACCACAGAGGAAATAAACACTTATTCCTCTGCTTGAGGGATTGCTCATTGTACTTTTATTTTTTATTAGTTTTTGGGTGGGATGGCCTTAATATCTTGGAGAGTTGGCCCCTATGTGCATAGAAGGGCATTCAGTAGTTTGACAAACTTTTGGGGTTCAGTCACTGAGGAAAGAGAAAAAAATCTCTCTTCTAGGGCCTCATTCATTACCCAAGTCCATCATCCAGCAAACACCCAACTCTCCTTCCTCGTTGAATTCCTCATCTCTCTCCTCCATGTCTTCTGGAAAGCTTTTAGTTAATGCTTAAGATAATCAAGGATGCTCGGAGTACATCCTGTGGCCTTCAAGAATTCATAATCCAGAAGAGTTCTGTCATGTATTTACACACAGAATTATAGAACAAAGCATTTGGATAGGAAGGCTGCAATGACATTGGCTTCTTGACTTTCAGCTACTGGTTATAAAAGACAAGCTCTGAGACCAACAGGTGGCATGGTGGTTAAGGTGCTAGACTTCTACATGGCTGACCATGGTTTGAGTCCCAGACCCACTGACTTGAAAAAATCATACCAGGCACATGTGTATACATGCTCAAAATCTCAAGATAAGAATGGAGGAGAAGGGATTGCGGTATGGCCATCTTCCCAGTGGGTGATTTATCACCTTTCCTCTCACTGACTCTCTCCATCTGTCTCTCTATCTCTGGTGAGTGCACACACCCTATGGCAAAAAATTAAATTAAAAAAAAAAAAGACAAAAAAAAAAAAGACAAGTTTTGCCCAGATTTGGGGTAGGGTAGAGTGGGACGGGCAGGTGTGTGGTTGAGTTGATGGGCAGTAACATTTTCATTGAAGACTTGTCACTGAGTTCTTAACTTTCAGAGGCTTCTCCAAGTTCTCTTGAATACCACCTGGAGCAGCTGAGTTGTATGGCGCAATGTTTGAAGAATGATACCGGTTAGTTCACAAGGCTTAGAGACGGTAACAGACTCTGGCCACAGGGCTGGTGTGCCCATGGAACCCCTGGACTTTGTAAGTCATGACAGATAAAAGTGGAAAGGCCTGGATCCTGGGAGGGATTGTGTCACATGAGAACCGGGGGTCGGGGACTGTCCAGGTGGCTTCTGGTCCCTCCCCCGGCTCCCTTCCCAGCATGACAACTTCAGTGCCCCTCCACTTTACCCCTCTGGCCAGACACTGGAAGAACCACAGGAGACAATGGCTGTTGGTAACGCCTTCCAGAAGAGGCACCTGGCTGAAAATGTTGTATTTTTCATACTCAGGACAAAGGGTTTGAAAACAGACCAGGAGTGAATTAGAGAAGAGAGGTCAAGGAGAAAATAGTTGCTCTCCCTTTCTCATTTTAACAACTGAACTGAATATACTTTCCACTTTCCAATCACCTATTGGTGCTCTCTTGTCTCCTCTAGTGCGTTGACCACCCACGGCCTCCGGGAAGGAAGTGGCTGAAGATGGGATCTCAGAGTCTGGGGGACCTTCCCTTGCATGTCCTTAGGAGACGGGAAAGGGAGGCTTCCATCTGCCCCTTCTTTAGCCTGAGTAGCCTGTCTGGATTGATCAGCATGTGGCTCTGCCCACCTTGTGCACTAAGAAAGCTGATGAAGGTGCTGAGGGCTGTCCCTCTGCATCCTGGCCACCACCCTCATCCCAAGCTCCATGTGCCCGGGCAGCCACTGGCAGGCCCAGAAGTGCCCAGTCTGGCTCACCGTGCACAGTGTTTGGAGGTCTGTGAGGCTGTGGGTGTCCAGTGAGGGATGCAGACGAGATATGTGGGAAACCCAATAAGCACACATTGTAGTTAAGATGAACTGGCTCTAGTTATGATTTCCATTTTGAATCTCTTAATTTAAGAAATGAAAAAAGAGGAGCTGGCAGGTGGCGTGGTGGTTAAAGCACTGGACTCTTACATGGCTGACCATGATTCAAGTCCTGGACCTAGTGGCTTGCTTTCTCCCTTTCCCTTTCTCTCTCTTTCTCTGTCCCTTTCTGGTCAAATAAAAAATTAAACTAAATAAAATAAAATAAAATAATTTTTGAAAGATAAAAGAAAACAGATGGCCAGCAGGTGGTATCGTTGTTATGATGCTGGGCTCCCACATGGCCAATTACAGTTCGAGTCCTGGACCCAGCAGCTTGGGACTCATGCCAAGCATGTGTACATGCATGTCCAAAATCCTGAGAGGAGAATGGAGAAGAGATTGCAGCATAGCCATCTCCCCTGGGGATATCTCTTTGTGTGTCTGGTGAGTGCGTGCCCTATAGCAAAAATATCTCTCAAAGAAAGAAAGAAAGAAAGAGAAAGAGAGAGAGAGAGAGAGAGAGAGAGAGAGAGAAAGAAAAATGATAAAAGAGTCCTTTCTTGTCAAACTTGGTCCCATCTGCAAAGCTAGGGAAATTTGGATCAGGACAGGGAGAGGACAGAAAGACTGCCCATCCTTTGGAGTCTATTTTGGGGGTCCCTGGGGGGCCAAGTGGAGGAGGCAGGCCTGGGTAGGTGCCTGCCCTTCAGCCTTGGCCTGAGGCATGTGCCGTAAAGAGAGGGAGCGGATGTAGTCGCTTCGGCAGCACGTATACTAAATTTGGAACAATACAGCATGGCCCCTGCTCAAGGACGACACGCAAATTCGTGAAGCGCTCCATATTTTTTCACTGGAGTTGTGTTCTGGTGTCAGTTGGTGACTGTAGGGACATTACAGTGCTGTACACTGTTCCTCAGTCTAGTGTGTAGCCCGAGGCCACCCAGAATGGCTCTAACCAATTTTGACTGGCTGTTGGTAAGCAAGCACTGAAAAATAAATCAAAGAACTACAATATATCGTAACTTTTGTAAACCTTGTTTTATGGATAACTTTTCGATTTTCACAAAAGGTTGATATATTTCAGTATTTTCAATACATCAGTGTTAATTTGGGGTTGGCAGAGATAACTTAACCATCACGTTTTGGTACTAATAACTTTATTGCTAATAAAGTTATTGAAATGCAAAAAGAGAGAGAGAGAGAGATGGAGAGAGCAGAGTCTGGGAGCACCTTCCATGTGGTGGAGACTGCTAATTCCCACTCAGTAAATGTCTTCTTCTTCCTGAGTGACAGGACCCTGGAACGTGAGGGGCAGCAATGGATCCAGCTGGAAAAACTACATTTCCCAGCCTCCCTTGCAGTGGAGAGCGGTCAGTAGATATAAGGAGACACCACTGAGAATAGATTCAAGGAAGCTCCCTAAAAGGAAGCTGATTTTCTAGAAAGAAGGCAACTGTGTCCTTCCCTCCTGTTTTCTTTGGGCTTGAAATGTAGACATGATGGCTGGAGTCTCAGCCGCCACTGTGGTATATAAGGTGACTTCAAGGATTGAAGCCATTAGCTGAGGGATGGCAGCATTGCCAGAAATCCCTAATAACTGTGTAGCCACCCTATGGGACTGAGTGGCCGAACTCTGGTCTTCTTTTATAGAAGAGAAAATAAACCCCTGTATTATTTAAGCCACAGTTCCTTGGGTTTTCACTAAATATTACAGGACCTAATTTTCACGATACTATTCCACAGGTAGTGAGTCATAGCTGTGAAGACACAAAAGATTCACAAGTAAAAGCGTCTGGGCGGGCAGTTTCTAAAGTGGGTGTTAGCATCCATCTCTCTCACTAATAGACTTTTTATTTATTTATTTATTTATTTTGGGAGAGGTTTTGGCTATAGGACATGTGCACTCACCAGAAAGACAGGAGACAGAGAGACAGAAAGCGAGAAATCACCCCCCACCCCCAGAGGGGATGGCCACGCTGCAGTCCCTTCTCCTCCATTCTCCTCTAGGGATCTTGGGCATGCATAGACACACGCCCGGCGTGAGTTCAAGCCATCGGGACCGGGACTCGAACCGCAGTCGACTACATGGGAGTCCAGCGACATAGCCATTACACTAACTACTGGTCCCTCTCACTAATAAACTTTGATCTTGGGACATGACCTCACAATTCCCATGTAAGCCTGGATTCCAAGTCTTGGAAATGACAACGCAAAGCTAAATTGAGTCCTTTTATTAAAAGAACCCAGGTGAGGGCCAGTAGGTGACGGGGTAGTTAAGTCCCATGTCACTGAATCTGCAGTTCCTGTCCTGAACCTGGCAGCTTGAAAAACACTGTGGGTGCTGTGGATGTGTGCCCACAATCCTAAGAGACGGATGGAGGAGAAGAGACTGTGGCGTGGCCATCTCTCCTGGGGGTGATTTCTCACTGCCCCTCTGTCTTTCTCTGGTGAGCACATAACGGCCTGTAGCAAAACAAACAAACTAACAAAAAAAGGAAACAAACAAAACAAAACAAAATAAAAAAAAAAACAAGAAAACCACAACCACACCAGGTAAAAACCAACTGCCAAATTCTGGCTTCGTACGTGGCAAACTAGAAACAGAATGCGAGGGCCCCTCGGGTTACACTCAATAGAAGGCCCACGATGAACACAAACCACATAACTGATTAAACAGGAGAGCGAGGAGGAAGGTGAGAGGAGAAATGGTGCAGATGTGTGATTGAAGCAAAGCCTCCTTGGAGGTAATCGTTTCTACTTCTCTAGTCACACGTAGTTATTCAGCCATAGATAGCGCTCAGCTACTCAGCACATCAACCCATTGGCTAAGTGTTTTTTGAACTTCATTTTTATGCTCAATTTATATAAACCTTTCTTTCCCCACCAATAAAAGGAGGAAAAAAACTTCTATTACAATTTTTTTTTTTGAATTGGCAGGCCAGCCGTCAAAATTTTAGCAAAGAAAAAAAGTCAAAAGATACTTCAGTAAACATTGGAATACAGAATGTCATTTAACTTGAACAAAGCCAGAAGGTTAAAGTCTGTAAAAAAGGTGGTCCCATTGCCTAGTGAGTAAGAGAGCTGAATCCTACATGGCCAATTGTGTGGTTCAAATCCTGGCCCCAGTGGCTTGAAAAATGTGCTGAGCATATGTGCATATGTACCCCAAATCCCAATAGGATGGAGAAATGGAAGAGAAGGAATTGCAGTGTGACCATGTCCCACTAGGGGGTGCTTTCTCCCTCTCCCTCTCCGTCTCTCTCTCTCTCTCTCTCAAGAACATGCACAAACTGGCTTATAAACAAACAAAGCTGTCTGCGCCTCCAGGTAAAGTCCACAGTAAGCAGAAAAGCCTACTTCGATGCTACCCATGTTCTGTAAGCTCTGGAGCTCAGATAGGACTCTCAGCAGAAGGACTTTGCCTACCACAGCTGAGCAAGGTGGAGAGGAAGGTGGGAGGAGAAGGGAGGGAGACGGACAGTAAGGAGCCTCAGCTGGATACTTGAAAGGTTAAAGCCCCGGATGATGACCTGGGTTTAGTTGAGGCCCTGCCGGTCACCAGCGTGTCCCCTTCAGCAAGCCCCTTCTGTGGCACCCTCATTTCCTGACATCTGTGTAATAAGGTTCCCAGGTACTCCTGACCCTAATTCCCCTGTCCTACTCTTCTGTGAGTCCGATGTGAAGTGAACCCGCCCTCGCCACAGTGAATGATCTAAAGCTGTCCATGTCAAGGGAGTCACAGTTTAAAACTGAGACATTGCTGCCACCTGTTGACTCACTGTTGACAAGTTCCCCGGGGCCAGTCAAACCCAGCAGGAGCAGGGCTTTCTTCTCAAATCTAGGCATCAGAAACTGGGCTGTGTTGCAAGGGAAGAAAATGTGTAGGCCAAGGTTTGTGGACTAAGGGCAACCGTCAATATTAAAGTTCTTTGTGAAAATGTTTTATTCAATACAATTTTGTCTCACTGAGGAAGATGTTTATTAAAATGCTTCTCATTTATTTATTTAACTGCCAGAGGGTGTGTGTGCTTGCCAGCGAGAGACAGAGAAAGAGAAAAGAAGAAAGCACTGTCTGTAGAGGGCCGTGCTCACTCTGTGCTCCCTTCTCTTCCATTTCTCCGTCCTGTCGAGATTTCAGACACACATACAAATGCACCTGGTGTGTCTGAAGCCACCAAGGCTGAGATGTGAACTGTGGTCAGCCATGTGGGATCTGGCTATATGGTCAGTCCTCACTTGTTTTTTGGTTTTGGTTTTGGTTTTTAATGGGTTTATACTTTGAAGTTTATTTTCACATATAATTATCCAATCCTTCTATAAGCTCTAAGAGGTAAGGACAGTGGTCCACCCCCAAATACAGGTGGAAATACAGACGCCCCGAGAGATGAGCTGACTTACCTTAGGAAGGCCTAAACAAAGACCTCTTTCCTCTCTATTGGACTTGGGGACAGAGGATTCGGAATTTGGGAAGTGAGCTTATTTATAGACGGTGGAGCCTGAAACCAGTTCCATTACTCTTCCCTGCCGCCATCCTCGCTGCTGCTGTCTTGAGAAGAGTAATGCGATTACTATGGAATACTACTGAAAGTTGGAAAGCGAAGGCAAAGCCATGCCTAAGGCCATGGTATTAGATGGGAGGAGCACCACCGAACACACGAAGAAGGGAAAGTCTGGGTGTAGGCGAGAAAGGACCCCCCCACAGCCTACCTGCATGCTCGACGCGCTGCTCCACGTTGGAAAGAGACCTGGGCCACTGCTGATTGGTTAGGCCCTGAAATTCCATTGTCCTTGGACCCTGAGTATGGGCCACCGTAGGCAAGCTCTGCGACTCTTCCTCCTTCTCCAATACCCCAAAGAATGTTCTCCAAGACGACTTTTTCTTGGCAAGGTTTACGGGCTTCTCGCTGGGTCCACAGTGTCTGGTAGGCCATGGCACTTGTGTCCATGACTCGTTTGTTGACCAACTGGTCAGTCCCTTCTGGGACAGACTTCTTGTTCTCAGCAGCTTCGGCGAGAAGACATCAGGGGTATTCTTGAAGACGTGGTGCCTGACATAGAATGCCAGGATTTTGAATTCTAAGCTGTTTGGGTCATCATCATCCAAGGGGACTTCCTCCAGGTCATACATGCTGGTGCTGCACATGTCGGGCCTGTAAAAACCATGTCCACACTGAGCCCTTCTGCTGTGGGCCCTTCAGTCTCCACAGGTCAGGAAGGACGGGTGAAAACTCCATAAGCATTTATTGGGCATTGTTTCTCTTTGTACTGGGCAACTGGAAGGTAACCAGAGATGGAAAAGCCACCGTCTTAAGGGGATAGGAAGAGAGTCCTGAGTGTAGGTAACTCAAAACACAGAGAATGAGCTAAGGCTCTAACGGAGATGTGGAGGGCCAGGTAAAGGGAGGCAGGAGGGACAGGCCAACTTCAAATACAAGGCAAGAGAAGGCTTCTTGAAAATAGAAGGTTTAGGGAACCAGCAGTTAGCGTAATGGCTATGTCGCTGGACTCCCACGTAGTCGACCGCAGTTCACATCCCGGACCCAGTGGCTTAAAACTCACACCGGGCGCGTGTGCGTGCGTGCCCAAGATCCCAAGAGGAGAATGGAGGAGAAGGGATTGCGGCATGACCATCCCCCCTGGGGGGTGATTTCTCGCTTTCTGTCTCTATGTCTCTCTCTGTCTGGCGAGCGCACGCGCCCTATAGCGAAAATCTCTCTCAAAAAAAAAGTCAGGTGGTAAGAGCAGATAGTTCCCACTAATTCCAAATGAATTATTTGAATGGACATGAAAACTGAGGGTAAGAGAAGAATGCACTTAAAATGATCTAGACTTTCTGTATGGCCTGGGTGTGTGTTGCTGTTTCATTATTCTACCAACCAGATTGCTCCAGATTCATTTTTATAGCCATGAAGTTAGTAGAGCAGCACTGTATTTGAATTTATATTGCTGTAAACTAAGCCAAAAGTAAGCACAGTCCAAAGCCATAAATATTAAAATCCTCATATGTTCTTTGTCTTGGTGTTTAGAGGAAGAACCTTTTCTAATTCTTGCTGATCATCATGAGATAAGGAAAATTAGCACTGATGGCTCCAACTACACACTTTTAAAACAGGTATGATGTTTTCAGTTATTTTATATCATTTGATATGGGTACTCCAGGTACGCATTAGCACTGTCGAAATACCTAACAATTATTGATAGAATTTAAGGAGCACTTGGATACACACATGTTTATATACAACCTTCAATTTGATTATGACGAGCAGATGATGCTCCAAACGTGGAAGAATACAGCATGTCAAAGGAAGTAAAGATGACAAAGAATAAGAAATGCAGGGAAAACAAATATATGAAGAGAAGCTAGATTAGAAAAAATATAAAATTCTATTTTATGTTATTCTGTGAATTGCCCAAATTGTTTTGTTTTGTTTCCCTGTTTGGCATTTAGAAGGGAAGTAAATCTGAGCTTTACTGTTCATAGAACCCTAGCTTTTATAATTTGGAACCAGCAAAAAAAAAAAAAAGGAACTAACATCCCGGACCCAGTGGCTTAAAACTCACACCGGGCGCGTGTGCGTGCGTGCCCAAGATCCCAAGAGGAGAATGGAGGAGAAGGGATTGCGGCATGACCATCCCCCCTGGGGGGTGATTTCTCGCTTTCTGTCTCTATGTCTCTCTCTGTCTGGCGAGCGCACGCGCCCTATAGCGAAAATCTCTCTCAAAAAAAAAAAAATAGAAGGTTTAGACCAGTGGGTAGATATTGGGCTAAGAACCAAATGGACAGAGGGTAGACTACTGGGGAATTCGGGATTTTTTTGTTTACTTATTTTACTTCTTGAGAGAGAGAGAGAGAGAAAGAGATATTCCTGACATGGTCTTGCTGTGCCACTGTCCACCCCTCACCCCATTTAAGACACTCAGGATTATTGGTGCATGCCCAGAATGCTTCCGTTCCATCTGGGGCCTGAACCTTGGTCTTCCACACAGCTCCAGTATGGCAGAGCGGCATCCTGCCACTGCTTATACCATTATGAACTGGGCCAGGATGTGTTTGACAGGTAATCAAGGGGGTTAAAGGACTTTTTGGGAGAGGGCAGGTGAGCAAAGGGAAGGCTAATGGAGGGGAAGAAAATGTCTGGGTCCCCTGACCCTTGCCTTCTGCTGTCCCTTCTTCCTTCATCCTCTGCCTTACTCTCGGGTTTTCTTCTGTCTCTTCCTGTGTTTGGCATTGCATGTAAGCTTTCATCTGAGAAATGCCTCCTGCCATTGTTTGTTTGTTTGTTTAGATTCTTGCTATAGGGCATGTGTGCTCACTGGAGAGACGGAGAAAGAGAGAGATGGAAAGCAAGAAATCACCTCCCAGGGGGAATGGCCACACCACAATCCCTTCTCCTCCATTCTCCTCTCAGGATCTTGGGCATGCACGTGCATGCGTCCGGTATGAGTTTTAAGTCACCAGGTCTGGGACATAAACATTATGCCATCTGTTGATCTCTATTATTATTATTATTATTATTATTATTTACACGTTCGAAAAACTCTGATGGAGGCAATAGGGAGCTCTTCAAAGTGTTGAGTGATTGATCCCAGCCATGTGTTAGAATTCTCAGAAGGGGCTGGGATGCCAGGGAGGAAAGCCTTTCCTCTTTATTTCCATAAAAATAACTGAATTAATAAAATAAACTAATTCTGTTCAATTTTTCTTGCATAAGTTTTTACAAAATAACTCCCTTTCTGATTTCTTGCTAGGAATCTAATAATGTACTTTTTCTTTTCCTAGTGTATATTAAGGACTACATTTTCCTTCCTGTCTCAAATGCCAGAAAGCACAGATCTATCCACTCTCACTGGATTGATATTTTGATGGCAGTGGTCATTGGAAAACACTGGGGTCATGTCTAATGTCCCGAGTTCCAATGGTGGCCGCGCCAAGCACGCAGGGCAGGTCCCTCCACCTCGTGGAACCTGAGCTTCTAGTAGGTAATTGTAAGTACTAACCTAGCCAGCTTGCAGGGATGCTGTGAGGGTATAAGATCATGTGGGAGAAGACTCAGCATAGAACCTGGCTCAGAGTGGTGACTGTCATTTCTTTTCTAGAATAATTGTCATCCTAGGCATTTTGGTTCTGTCTTTGAGGTGACTTTTTATTTTATCTTTTGAAGTTTATTTATTTCTTAGAGAGGTATACCCCCAACAGGGTTTATTTATTTATTTTTAAGAATTATTTTAACTTTTTATTTATTTATTTATTTATTTAAATTTGACCAGAGAGGGACAGAGTGAGAGGGAGAGAGAGAAGGCAAGCTGTCAGGTGTGGGGACTTGAACCATGGTCAGTCATGTGGGAGTCTAGCGTCCTCAACCATCACGCCATCTGCTGCTCCCCATAGGATTTTCACACTGTGATCCCACCTTAGCCAGTCAGGACCATGGGCAGACATGTGCATGTCCAGTATGTACAGAGAGACCTCAGGACATGAACCTGGAACCTACCCATAACAACCTCAGCATCATGGAACATTATTACTGCTGCACCCGATGTGGCTTTTAACCACATTCCCTTCCCTTACTGATCCTAGTTTAAGGCTGTTTGGGGCCAGCCCTGTGTTCTCGTAGTTAAGGGAGCCAGATCCCACATGGCCAACCACGGTATCAATCCTGGCCCTGGTGGCTTAAAAGACATGCTGGCTCAAGTATGTGCCTGAAACCCCAACGGGATGGAAAATTGAGGAGAGGGGATTGTGGCATGACCACATTCCACTGGGGAGGGGTGTTTCTCCCTCTCTCTCTCTCTCTCTCTAGTAAGTGCATGTACCCCCTAACAAAAACACACATACACACACACACACACACACACACACACACACACACACACACCCTCTTGCCATGTATGTGGGTGTGATGATACGTAAGCTGTTATGACATTGATGGGTTCAACGAGCATGATCCTCCTTTTCTTCCTGCAGTCACACCAGAACCATCTTACAAAGAAATGGGATGCGAATTGCAGACAGGGTTTGATGCCCCATCCCGATGCAGACATACTGTGCAGGGCGTCTGCAGGGTGGATGGCCAAGGGGTGGCTCAGCTTCTACCTGGTAGTGTCTGTGGGCAAGTCACTTGAGCTTTTTGGTCCTGAGTGTCTACCTTGCTAGACTGAGGGCATGTGGCAGACGCTCTCCCTGGTTTTGCTACTTGAAGGAGGTGGCAGGGGCTGAAATGACTCTGCTGCCTGGTTTACTCTTCCTGCCTCCATCCTTGTCTTTCTTAACTGGAAGTGGCTGGCAGATCTGGAAGCCGTTCCTCTCAGAGCCTGCTCCTTGACCAGACCCCAGCGAAGCAGTGATTCCTGGCCAGGTGAGTTCTGATGGAGGTAAGGCAGGGAGGGACTATGAGGGTCAGGCCAGAGCAGTAGGTGAAGAAGGAGGGGACAGAAATGAATTTCTCAAAGGCCCAGCTGCCGTGATGCAGGTAGGAGGCTACTCCTGTGTGAGACCAGACCAACTGGGAGGCCCGGATTTGGCTCCTGGATCAACCTGAATATGCCAGGCAAACCTGAGCCTATAATCCTGGCTGGCTGGGAGGCTGCAGAAGGACCCTGATAAATATTTGTTTCTCTCTTGTGGAAGAAACATAAGGAAATGGATTTCTTGGTGCAGCAAAGGGCAGAGTTATAAAACCTGACACACTAACTGTACGCTCAGACATGAGGTCTTCGAAGAGTTCGTGGAAAATATGTATTACGAAAACACTGCGTGGGCTTCATTTTTACTTTTTGCACCAAAATAAGCTTGTGTTTTAACTCCATCTTTCTCACGAACTTGAAGTCTCCTCATACATACACAACGTCCAAGCCCTACCAAACCTCCACTTATCGTGCATATAAACAAATGCTGAGGGCCAGGGCATGGAGTGGGCATCCAGACCTCTGTCCCTCCTGTTTCCTCACATATCTGTCCTATTCGAGTGCTTCCACGAGCTAACCCCCAGAGTTTGCACTCACAAGGGTGAACCTTTTGCTCTGCCAGGACAAACATCAACATCTCCTCAAAGTGCGTGCTCCTTCCTGTTGCTCCACCTGGGCCCCTCCCCCTCCTCGCCTCCCTCACCTCCCCGTGTGGGTTTTCACGGGGCACCAGACCCTCTCCTCA